TGTAAAGCCTCTGTGTCCCTCACTGTGGGCCGTCTTTGGCCCTGGCGGTCTCTTCTCTCTGCCCCACCCGAGCCCGCTGGTGGGTCCGAGGCTCTTCGTCCCCCCACCCTCTCCGGACTCTGGGCCGGGACTTGGAGCCGTCTTCGGGGGGGAATGGGAGCTCAGGCCCCGGTACGGCCACCTGCTGAAGCTTCTTCTCAGCCGGGAGTCCCATGGGTGGCATTCCCGCCGTGCCCAGTGTTGTGCCTGGTCCTGCCCTCTGCTCCTGCCCCTCTCTGCTCAGCCCAAGGGGTACCGACAGGAGCTCGTTAATCCCCTGGGCCCACCAAAATAATGAATAAGTCTGGCAACAGTGCATGTTTGTGTTTGCTAAGTAATTAAAAAGACAGTTGATTAATGGGAAATATCATTAATAGCTGTCTGCATGGCTTTATGGAAAACAGATCTTGTGAAGCAGTCCTGACTTTGTTGTCTTAATGATTTGATTGATAAAGGTAGTTCATGGCATATAATAGTGCTTACAAAGTAAAGCAATTGGATCAGCAGTACTGTGAGTACTCAGTAGTAGTAATAGTAATAGTAGTAGTAGTACTTTTTTTAAGTAGTTAGAGAGTGGTAGATGGAAAGTGAGTCAATTAGTGGGGAATCGGCCCCTTGCTGGTGGGACTGGGCAGGGGTCATAAAACAGCCTCCTTCTGTCCAGCACTTGATTTGTGGCCTTGAATGTTGTATATAACAAAATTAATTTAGAATTACATATGGCACAAATATTAGTGGAATAGTAGTTAATAGTAGCAGGAAATATGTGTGCTGTGCTCTTCATTACGTGATAAAGTGGGTTCATTGAAATAACCAGACAAATTTTAGCCCACCCTAAACTTGCAGCCCATTTCATTCTAGTTGATCATCTGCACCGTTAAAGACTTTTATTTTTGCAATTTGACATGCTGAACAGACAAATGAGGGAAGTGGCAGTAAATTACTCATGTGTTTGATGTGCCACCTAGTTGGCTGTTCTGTCCTGTCTTGATGTTGCTTGATTCCTAACTTTGATATTGTCACTTCAGCTCCTTGTGTTTTGTTTTGAAGGGCTCATAGGGTAAGGAAACTTGAGTTTGGATGTGTTTTATTTCTGTATCAAGAACTTGAATAGTTACTTATGCCAGAAGAGCTCAGTGCCTCTGGTTTCTTTTGAGTGCCTGATGACTCCTTTGATTCTGTATTTCACAAGACAATCTTCCCTGTGTTTATTATACCTTGGTAATTGTATTTTTGATGGCATTGTTGTCCCTGGGCATATTTTTCTTTCACATAAGGAGTGCCCTCCCAGCTTCAGTTTAATCCCTGTGGCTGTTTGCACTCAAACACCAGATGTCACTGTTGCAGTTTGTATGTGGGTGTGTACATACACATGTGTATACATACAGATGTGTGTTATAATTTCTGAACTGGGAAACATAGGGGGTTTTTTTTCCCCCCACAATTTGCAGCCTTAAACTTAAAATATTCAGATTCTAACAAAAAATATCCAAGACTGTCTTTCCCCTTTTACCTATCCGCTTCAATCACTTTAAATCATTACCGAGATGAGCAAGCAATTGCACTGCATAATTTCTTGTAAATTCATTACTATGGTGTTTGCCTGCTTGAGGAACTAATTGTAAGAGTACATGTACAGCAGTACATGGCCCTGCACTCAGATAACATTTACATATGGAGCAAATTGCACCAGTGATGGATCCTTACCAGAAACAGAACTCCTGATAATTTTTTTTTTTCGATCCCTAGATTCTGAGTTAAGCTCTGATCTTCCAGAAGACAGTTACTCTTCAGGAGATGAAGCCCTGGACGGTGATGATGAAGATGAAACGGCAGCCCCTGGCAATGTGGTTGAAGAGGCAACAACCTCCAAAAATGGCCCAAGTTCAGGCTGGGCAGATGCCATGGCAAAAGTGCTCAACAAAAAGATTCCACAGAATAAGTCCACCATCTTGTCCAAGAATAAAAGCCTGGAGAAGGAGAAAGAAAAGGAAAAACAAGAAAGGCTGGAAAAGAAGATGAAGGTGAGAAAAAAATGCAGTATTTCCTATGCAGTCACAGTCAGGTGGGCTACTACATGCAAGGTGGTCTCAGCAGAGATTTGGGAGAGTGATCTGAGACCTTCTCAGTTTTGGAATCTCTCCTCCACAGTGATGTCAAGTAACTTCATTTTTTTTACTTTCCAGTCATGCTGCATAGGGCTTTTTCCCTTATTGCATTTTCTGGGTCATCATTTGGCAGCAGGACTGTTCCAGTCTGTCAGCTTAAGGTGTTTTCGTTGTTGAGAGGGTGAAAGCAGCTGCTTTAAGCTTGGTTTTCTAATTGGTGTTGTTAATTTGGAGTGAAATTAACTTGCTCAGCATTACAAGTCAAAATAGTTCTGTATTACAGAAAGTGAGAGGGAGAAAAAGAAGAAAACTTCCTTCATTTAAACTGTGCCACAGCTTCCAAAATCAAGGCCTCTAGGTTGAGACCATTGATGGGGTTGTGAATACTTGTTTGCTCCCCTCAATGATTTTCTTGATTGGAGTTTTCTGCTATGGTGTCTGTTCCCTAAATAGCTTCTGGTTCTGAAACTGTTATGAAGAAAGCAGAATTATGTTGGCAAGTAAGTCATTTGTTTGTGTCTTTAGTGGAAGTTTTAATTGCAGGCCGTGATTGATTTACCTTCAGGCTAGAAATACATTAATGGTTCTAATGTCTCATCTTACCAGTTTTGTTTCAGTGGAATAGCCAGGTTGTTCACCTGACAGTTTAGGACATGCTGTGGTTGGGCCACAGCATGCCTTTTAAGTACAGAGATGCTTCAGTACAGCATCTGCGCAGTTGTGGTTGTCCTAAATACCTGTTTTCATCCAGTAAACATGTGGGAATACTGCAGAACAGAGGTGGGCTACAGGTCGCCAGACTGACTTGTTTACCTTAGGAAAACTTGAAAGCCTTCCACTGATTTCTTGCTGATGGAAGGTAGGATAGATAGTTCTTTTGATCAAAGGCCAAAACATGGTCATAAACTCAGAAATTCATAGTGGGTCTGGAATTATAAAGATAAGGACTCTGAAGTGCCACTAAAAACTTATTGCATAAAACAGATTTAATGGAACATCACCGGGTGTAGAACACTGTTAAATTGTTCGAAGGGGAACAAAAAAATTTCACTACCTTAGTCCTGAAGCAGAGGTTGTGAAATACAGTGGTCTCCTATTTTAGCAGAAACAAAGCTGGTGGTATTGTGGCCCCTGGTAATGAAAAATGTATGAGTTTGGTTTTGAAACAGAGAGACTCAGAAGAAGACAAAAATCAGTATTATACATGAGTTGTTGTCTGGTGGACACTTGGTGTTCTTCCTGGTGTTTGAGTTATGCCTGTTGCAGTCTTTGTTGTGGCTCACTGTTGGTCACATAGCTATACTGGGATTAATTCTATGGGGGAAGTCAAATTCTCAAGGCTCAAAATGTGATGTGCCTGTCTCGATAGACACGGGATTTTATTATGTATAATTTTCTCTGTGATCAGCTTGTGAGTCTTGGAGTTGAAAGCTATCTCTGAATCATTAGTTTCCTTGTCCATGGCAACCAGTGTGAAAGCATTTTTATTCTAGACTTTTGTCACTGAACACAGGTGATTCTTTGAGATTTGACTGTGGGCCCTGGTATGTCAACACAAGAGACTTGCCTTACACCTGTTGTCCAGCCCCATACTGAAGGTTCCCTTACCCTCAAACCTAACTGAACTTTGCAGATTTTTTTTTGTCCCCTCCTGCTACATACTCTTATCAGAGTATGCTGCATTCTCATAACAATATTTATAACGCAGCTCGATAAAAAGCGCGAATGGGAAATGATGTGCCGAGTGAAGCCAGATGTTGTCAAAGACCGAGAGAAAGAAAGAAATCTTCAGAGAATTGCCACAAGGTAAGATTTTTCTGAATGCTTTCCTAAATATATGTATATCAAAAAGAGGAGGAAAAGGGGAAGAAAAGGCCTATGCAGGTAATCTGTTTCCAATCAGTTTGAACTCTTAGGAAGTGACTGCCAGGAGCCGAGAGATTTATATGCAGGTCTGCATTGTACAGTGTCAAGTTCAGCAAAAGATTTCAGAAGCTTTATGGAAGAGTAAAAATTTAGATGGGAATCTAATGTTTGCTTAACAGAAGTGCTTTGCTGGATCCCCTCATTTTGTTAATTTAATGCTTTAAAAATGCAGAACAGTTGTTTCTACTGTTCTGGTTTTTTGCTTCTCCGCAGAGGATTCACCAGATTGATGGCTGTTAAGTTGAGCCTGTTCAGTGTTGCAGTAGTTTGATGTCACAGAACTAGTTGAACACCTTGATGTGCTGCCTGTGTCTGCCTCCTTAGTCATTCCTCTGCCTTGTCCCCTTACTTCAGCTGCTCTTGAGATCTTGCCTGAGGAATTTAATATCTGGTTGTAGGACGAGTAACGTGCTTCTGAGGATGAAACATGCTCATGCACTGATTTCAGTGCCAAGTTACTAGGCTTACTTCAGGGTCTGAATAGTTATTTGTAGATTTGTTTGTTACTGGTTCCTAGCAATAAGTGTAAAGGAGAAGTGAAAATTGAACATTATAGCAAATTTTACTTCTTAACCAAATTGAGGTTCCCACTAACCATTTTGGGGAGCTAGAAGCTGCCCATCATCTGCACCAATTTGTATCTTTGATAGGGGGTTCATTTCTGTAAAAGGAACTTGAGTTTAAAAAGCTGTTCTCTTGTTTTTTCCCCTATCCCAGAGGTGTTGTACAATTATTTAATGCTGTCAGGGCGCACCAGAAGAACATTGATGAGAAGATGAAGAAAGCTGGGAGCTCTGACAGGCGGCGTGCTAAACTGCTGTCTTCCGTTTCAAAGAAAGATTTCATCAATGTTTTAAGAAACATGGAGGGTGCTAAAGGAGGCAAGAACGGAGGAAAGGCCACAAAATGTAAAGAGGTAAGCTTTATCTGTGAGAAGAAAATGCATACAAGATGATAATCTCAGTATAATTACTGTCTGTTAATGTGCCTGCTCTTCATAACAGCTGTGATCCAAATAGCTGGGGTGTTTTTAGACTTCTTAGCAAGGAAATAAGTAGCTCTTAGCCTGCTTTCTCTGTATTTTGAGTATCAAAGTACAAAGTGCTGGAAGCTCTCTTGATAAGACATTGAGCCTTGGATGCAAATAACTTGGTTTAGCTGTATGTTAAAAAAAAAATATTGGATTTTATATTGGGTTTTGTACCAAACATGGAACAAACTGCTAGATTTTAGTGGGTCATGACATTTGGAATTTGACCAATAATAGCTCCTTAAAAATTGTTAAGGACATGGAGGCTCTTTGTCTTTCATGGTGTATTAGACTGTACTACTTGTGTGTACCCACAGTTTGGTCATGTCAAACTCACTTCCTTTGGATGATTATGGTATCCGGAACTGAAGGGATTTGCTGTACAAAGTGAATACCACAACAGAACGAAACAGAGACATATTAAATATTAAATGTAGGCTTTTCTTTCCCTGATTCTCTGTGTGTATTTAGGCTGATGTGGCTTCACTGCTGTTATGATGTTTTGGAAAGAATGCATTCCACTTTTTCCAAACATGTTTAAGAGAGATGCAGTACAGTTGGACTTGTCCAATTCTTCATTGGTTCTTTTAGCTCACCAAGTAGCTCAGGGTTGAAAACAAGTTCCTCAGACATACTCTCTCTTGTATTTCAGAAGCTGCACGTTTTTGAAGCGTATTTGTGTTCAGGTTTGAACTCTGTGCTCAGTAGTGGGTGGAATACTGTTGTTGGCCCAGACTCACAGCAGTTAACTAAGTGCTTTTCTGTGCCAGGAAGAAATACTTTAATCAGTTGGGAGACAACAGTTTGTCATATGTTTTTTGTTTGTGTGCACTTGGGGAACATGCTGAAACACTGCCTGGCATGAAGTGCTCATACAATTTTCATGCAAGTGTAATATTAAAGTATTTTTTAAATTCTTTGGATAATGAGAACAATTTAGCTTGGTGCTGACACTTTATTTCTCCTTAAATAATTCCAACTCGCTTGTTTGGTTGGGGGACCGTGCATGTGTGTGGTTCTTTTTTTTTTTTTTTTTTTTTTTTTTTTTTTTTTTTTTTTTTTTTTTTTTTTTTTTTTTTTTTTTTTTTTTTTTTTTTTTTTTGGTTGTTTTTTTTCCCCCTCCCCTGGAATAGCAGAATATCAGAACAATAGCAGGACCAACTACTGTTGTAGTCGGCATTGAATCAATAGCTGAGCAAGATCTAGGACTTTTGTTCTCATTTGTGTCAGATTGTAGCAGGACAATTCTCTAATTAATAGGTCAGAAAATATAGATTGCAAATGTTTCTGTACTATAAAAAAAAAAAAGTCTTATTTTGGAAGCATCAGTAAGAGCAAATTTCCATTCAAGTGCTCTGGAGATGCTTTAGAGACTGGCTGGTTAGTATTGGGTTTGACTATTAGTATAGGTGCTACCTTCACATAGCTTGTGATTAAAAACTGGGACAAGGATTGGTGTTTTTGGTTGGGTTTTTTAATAGCTTATCTGCTTAGATAGACCACCAGTCTTCCTCTCTCCTTTGTGCCTTTGCTTTAGTGACTCTCCATTCAACACTGAACCAATCTCTTCAACAACTCCTTTTCAAGCTGTTCTTAATCTTCCTTATTTTCTCTTGAGAACATATCTTACTCATTTAGAGGCTCCCATCCTGGTAGTTAATGCTTGAGCTTGAGGCCAAAATCTGATCTGCAGTCTTCTCTACAGAATTACACAGACATTTAGCCCCTGAACAGTACTATTGGCCTCTACTGTCATAGCTCTGCTTCTTAGTCTTTGGGGGTTTTTCAGAGGGTGGTAAGCAGGGATGAGGCTTTTTGGTAGTGAATTCCTTGCAGCAGGAGTTTGGTAGATTGTTTATGCCATCTGAAAGCTTTACTTTGTTTGTTTGTTTTGTGGATTTGTTCTTTCTAGCAGCCTGCTTTGTTTTACCATTTGAGAATATAGCGTGTATTTAATTTTTAGAAAAGAGGGGTGAAATATATTTATTTGTCTCAACAAAAACAAGGGAAGAGATGCCAATCCCAAACTCCGGGCATTCTGCCATCAATTAAAATGCAGTCCAGAACAATAAAAACACTACCCCACCCACATGAAACAAGCAGTCAGCAGGAAAAATAGCAGAATAGTTTTACCAGTGAAAGCAAATGCTTCTTGACTCAAGCCCTGTGCTGTGACAGGAGAGTTGACTGTATTTGTGGGAATGGGCTAATGCTGCTTCTTACTCTGCAGTGCATTTTGATTGCAGAATTTGCTGCTTATTTTTGAAAGTTTGGTGGTTTCTTCCACACGTCAGGGGTTGTTGAAGAAACCCCTTATAAAGTTCTGTTGTGACTGACTTCTTAGTTAAGTGTATTTATGTGTGAGAAAAAGAATTTGAATGCTCTGTAAAGGCCCATCTGCAGTGCTGGGATTTCATGGTAGCACAACCACTCTTTCTCATTTGTTTCTCTATTTCCATCAGCTTCAGATATTGATGGGAAGGACAGGTAACCTGTGCCCATAAGAACGTTGTTCATAGTCTTGTATACTTTTAGCCATTGGCCTAATTATTACTTAGCATACACCTACCAGTGTAACTGTGAAAACAAACAAACAAACAAACAAAAACCACTTCAAGGCTGTGAAAGTTTTCATGTGCCCTTCTTGTGAAACTGTAGCCCTTCTTGGGGTTTCATGTGCCCAGATGGGAGTAATTACTTTCCTGAACTGGAGCCAAAAGCTTTGCCTTTCGTATCATTAGCTGTTTATCAAGGAATTTCATAATCCTTGCTGAGCCAGCTGACTTGTGTAATATTTTTTCCTATTTTTTTTCCAAGGGACAGTGCATGGTGCTTGCCTCTGGGTAAGATCATCTAATTTTCCTCCCCTCACCACCTTGTCTGAAGCCTTGCAATGTAGGAGAAACATATAATAATTTCCTTTTTTTTTTACAAAAATCCTACTTGTTTGTTGTTTGGGTGTTTGTTTTATTTTATTTTCTTTTTAAGTTTTGGGATGGGTTTTTTTAAGAAGCATTTATTGGTAGATATGAAAGCTTTCAATCTTGTTCAACACAATCCTTACAGACCAGATTTTCATTTCAGTATGTGTTAGTCATACCTTGCAGCTTCCCACCTGTAAGACACTGTAAGAAATATTTAACTACAGGTTTCGAAAAGGTATATATCAGAGATGCTGTTTTTCCAGCCCTAAAGGCTGAGGTCGTCTTTATGTCTATGGAAGAAATACAGAAGTAGGCAGTGGCAGTAAAGGATTCCTTGCAGGAATCTTCTGGATTTTTTAGGTCTTTAAGAAATTCCTGGGTGCTCTGAGGAAGTACCTTTGCTTCCAGGGTTGAATGAAGTTTGATCTCTTACAGTTGGGCAGACATGTTGGCTGATGTAGTGAATTACAAGAGGTCTTGAAATCTTAATTGTAAGGAAACAAAGAATTTCGGACTTGACATTCTCAGAGCAGCCTCAACTTTTCTCCCTTACTGCGTGTCAGGACAACAGGGTCGTTCAGGACCAGATTTCATCTTGACTTTTTGCTTGGCGTTTGTGCTACTCCCTGTAAAACGTTACTGTGTGGTAAAACATTTTCTAGTGACATATAAACAACTGGCATGAATGTTACAGATACTCTTTATGACAAGCATAACCTGAACTCATGAACCTCTCATGCCTTTGTAGCATGATTTTGCTTCAGCTTGTAAGTTTTCTTACACCAGATCTGTGACAGAGCATTTCAGTGGTGGAAGTAAGAGCAGGATTTCCTGGCCTACTTCAGTAACCATGATCCAAACTCTGTAAGGTAATTTTTCTGTAAGTGTGCTGGCTACATGACCTGAAGGTACAATTTGCTTCCTGTGTTGTGATGACATCTGGAAAAAATTGGTTATTGGTCTCAAAATAGTACCTATTCTAAAATAATTTATTGATAGGAAGGAAGATGAGTGGAGAAGAATACAAGTGCTATTTCATATCAGCTATTGCTCATGTGGGACTTGAAATAAAGTGCTTTTCCAGAAAAGTTCCTTCTGCCTGAAGCATATTTTATAAATGCTCCTAGTGGTCAGTAAGTAATTTTTAAGCACAGTGATTAGAGTCAGGTTTACTATAGATTTTTCTTTTGTTCATAAGACTAATTTTAAGTGGTATTTAAAGATTGTTCAAGGGCAGGAGGAGTACTACACTTCTGACTTTGACTACTGTTCTTACTGGGATACAAGAAGTGGTATCAGAGCTTTCATTTTTCAAGTTAAATGGGGATATAAAATGTGCTTTTCAGCTTAAATGTTAGGTCTGTTTATAAACTGTGGGAGTGATTGCCTTCTTTTTCTTGCAGCTGCGTGAGTACTGGCCATCAGCATGTTCTGCTTTTTTCCCAGTGTTTCCACAGTGTGGAAATGGGGAGGAGGGGCAGAAAATATTATTTTCATCCATGTATCTGTTTGAAGTTACAATAGTCTGAGCAATTGCTTCAATTAGCTGTAGGAAATAGTTTGTTTTTGAAGTATGGATGAAGGCAGAGAATATTTCTAGAGGTTTGATAAGGTGTATCAACACCTTTTTTAATCTTAAAAGGGAACTTTTTTTCCTTTGGTGATAATGGCATTGCAGAGTAGCAGAAGTTTATTACTACAACTGTTGTGTGCTGGTTTTACAGAACAAATTGGAGGAGTAACCAGGCATGCATGTATTCCAGCAGATTTGAGGGGGCAGCCAAGTATTAATTTAGTTCAGCTGCAGCCAGAATAGATGTGTTCTCCCAGTTTTAATAAATGTCTTCCCATCACGTGCACAGAAACTTTTAATTTGGATTCCTCTGGATACTGCATTTTTATCTATTTTTCCGAAATGTATGTACATACTTGGGAAAGTCACCTCATATATGTTTGGAGCTG